CCTCCTTCCTCCCCCCCCTCCTTCCCTCCCTCCCTCCCTCCCTCCCTCCCTCCCTCCCTCCCTCCCTCTGCTCTCTCTTTAAGGGCTTCTGTAGCCCAGGCTTGTCTGAGGCGCACCGTCTAGCTGAGGATAACCTTGAACTTCTAACCCTCTACGGCCACCTGTGGTGCTGGGCTTACAGTCTTGTACCACCACGCCCAGTTTAGCTGACATTGAAGAGTCAGCCCGTGACTGCGCAGACACCCCTCAAACTGTATTTTTGGTCAGCCTGCCTAGAAGTTTGTCGGTGTTGCTTATCTTTTCCAAGAACCAGCTTTTCGTTTGGCTAACCCGTGCCTCGTTCTTTTTTAGCCCCTGTTTCACTCATTTCTGCTCTATCTACAACTTTTGATTTTGACTTGTTCTTGTTTTCTAAGAAGTAAGGGTTGAATCATTAGTTTGAGATTACACCGATTTGTTTTATTTTTGAGACAGTGTCTCACTATGTAGCCTTGGCTGGCTTAGAGCTTACAGTGTAGACCAGGCTGGCCTCAGACTCAGAGAACCACACTCTGCCTCTTGAGTGCTGGGATTAGAGATGGAGGCCATCACACCCTGTCCTACTCTGGTCTTTTAGTGTAAAGCAATAATAGCTATAAAGTTCCCTCTTAGATCCGTCTTTGCTGTAGCCCAGACTGAGCCTCTCCTTTTAGTCTTTTAGTCTCTCTCTCTCTCTCTCTCTCTCTCTCTCTCTCTCTCTCTCTCTCTCTCTTTCTCTCTCTCTCTTTCTCTCTTTCCCCGCCCCCGCCCCTGCCGTGTCTCTTAACTGGTGAGTCAAGCCCTTTCCATTTGAGGTTATTATTGAGAAATGTTTACTACTTCCTGTTATTTTTTGTTGGTTGTTTTCCTGGCCTGGTGGATAGTTCGGTCTCTTCTTTTTCCCTATTCCTGATAAGAGTTTGCTGGCTTACTGCGAAGTTGGCCCCGGCTTTGCTTTCATGCCGCCCAGAAAGGTGTTATTCCTTCTGCTCTTGTGATTGAGGATATTTTTCCTCCTCTGTGGTAGTATGAGCGTCATTCTTGAAGTGTCTTCTGCAGTGCTGACTTGTTGGCTATGAACTGCCTTAGACTGTGCTTTTCTTGGAATGCCTTTGTTTATCAATCAAATTTATTTTGGAGGGATACCAAGTGGGTTTTATTTACTTATTTATTTAATGTATTTATTATATATACAGTGTTCTGCCTGCACATATGCCTGCGGGCCAGAAGAG